CTATGTCAGTTTACACCACAAAAAGCTGCAATACATTTTTTTTGACACATAGATCTAAACATTATCAAATCTCACTCTATGAGGTTTTGGTGGTGTGAGTCCCAGTAATATCTAAAAATTTACTGAAAATTCAGTGTCCACAAAGGTATCATCTACTTCAATAGCTCACTTATGTCTGTAAAGATTTTATTAGCTGCTATGACAATGAACATCCCATTTGATTTGGATGAGAAAAAGATGTTACTCTGGGCTTTTCTCCCTCTTTGTTCATTTTCATCGGTGAGGACCTAGTGTGGTTTGATTTTAACTATATATTTAGACAAGCAACAATTCTCATGCCAAATTCAGCACATGGAATTACTTGAATGACAGACTCCTGTGCCTCTCACAAGCCCAGGGTTTGATATGCACGAACAGGATAGAGGAGGAGGGTTCACTTGATTATTTAACTTCCTCTGCATCTCTCTCCCTTGAATCAGATCCTTAAGAATCACACAGCAGGCTTATTCCTTGCCAGGTTCAAACGAGGCTCCTACCAGTTCTGAAAGCCTGTGCTAAAAAAAAAATGCATAAATTCAGAAAGCAACTGCCCTGGAAGAAAAGCTCCCGAAGACTCAGTAAATAATGAAGACACTACTTTTGACACTAGAAGTCCCTGAGCTGCAAATCACAGCATGATGTCCTCTCTCTTATGCTCTTTTCTCAGCTGGCTCCTGGTGGAGTTCGAGACTTGATGAACTTGTACAGATTTAGACTCCACGTGTGGCTGTCCAGCTCTACATTAGCCCTAGGGTCTCCGCAAGCAGAGACAGACAGAAACATCGTTACGTCAGGCCATAATATCCCTCTCAACACCTAGTTGCATCATATGAAAATGGAGCATGGAAAAAAAAAAATTAAAACAGCTCCACAATGAAGAATATCAAATAATTTAATTTATATCAAAATGTTTACAGCAGGTCTTTATTGAAATTAACATCTCTGGTTCTATAAAGACCTGTTTAACATTTAACTCAAAATGATGACACCTATATTACGGTATATTGTTAATATATTTATTGAACTCTTTTAAATTAAATAAATGAGGTACTTAGCTGTTTATTGCCTAAATTAAAAAGTCAAGCTATTGAACTAGCAGAAGTAACAGGCTATCAGAATTTGCTGAAAAAATAACACAAAATTGAACATTTGTAGCCTCTTCAAACTGGAGAGGGAATACATTTTCATTTTATTTATTTAATTAGTTCAGCATATCCAAATTGGAGAAACCATCTGGAACTTAAGGATCAGGAATGTTTGTCTTCTGGTTTTTTTTCCCAACCTATTAAAGAGTTAAATGGTGGGGTTTACTTGTTCAGAAATTCTGAACGAGATTATAGTCAATAAAATTCCCTACCTACAAACAGTATTTTCATTATTTAATATATGACTTTTAGTTCAAAATTTAGTTTGAAAAATGTGCTTTTCACTTATGCATCAAGCATATTTAAACAGTTTTAAATATGAAAGTCAGTTTTTACATTTTATACATTTTGAGTTCTAATTTCCATTCAAATGCAGCAATGATCACACATAAATTAATAAGTATCCTCTAGCAAATAATATATTTTTCATTCATTATTATCTCACATAAAAATGTTCAATTATGAAATTTAAATAAATGCACACTAGGCTGAAATAATGGCATGAAGACATAGTGTGTCATCTTGACTGGAAGAAAAGCATAAAATAGAACTGTAAATAAACATGTTTCATATTTGCCAACCAATAAGAGGCAACCAACCTTTATCTAGAAAAATGCAAATGGAAAATAAGATTAAAGCTGATTACTTAAATCAAA